GGGAAAGTCTTGGCATGGGCAGACTCACTGAAAGATCTTACAATTCCATCAGTAAAGCACTCTTTGCCTTTTAAAATGGATTGAACATACTGAATATTTTAAACAAAGAAATAGAGAATGCGTGATTGAGAAAACTTTTAATAGGATTAATCTCACTGAGAGATTGTAACTGGAATTATGAAAAAGTGCTTCCTGGTATTGTATCATTTGTGAAGCCTCATTTATGACTTAAAGAGTTTTTTTTTCCATTTTATCTTACTCCTGCGTTAATATTTTGATGTTCTTGCATGTCAAAGTTGATAGAAATCCTTATTTTGAGCACGTTTGTTCTTTCTGTTGGAAATGTTTTCGCTGCTTTAACATTGGTTAAAACAACTTTCTCAAAAAGAATCCTATTTCCTCACATGCCAGTACCTCCCAGATAGAGACAAATGCAAACTCCTCTGTAGGACAGTGAAGGCGCTCACAGACAGGCCTTAACCTGCTGACCGAACGCCGGTATTTCCTGGTGCGCACGCACACCGTGGAGGTTTAGCCACACAGATGGCGTTATTCTTACCCCGGTGCCCCTGCAACTGTTATTCCCTTTTCCAAGTATCTCTTCCACCCTCTTCGCTGGGAAAGCTCGTCATTCAAGGTTCTGCTTTAACTTTCAAACATCACCTCTTGTCTTTAAGTTGACCACCCATTCTGCTGTTGGTGTAGTTTGGCTGATTGATAGATTAATATCACCCATCAGTAACACAGGCAAAGACCTGCTTTTTCTGAGTTGAGTTAGGGACACGAGGGCTCCTCTCCCCTTACTGAACAACCTTGCTCAGAGCTAAGAAAAAATCAGTGAATAAATTGTCTAATATCTACAAATCACCTGACTCCTATCTTTCCCCCCCAAACTACCGATAATAATATCAATAATTTCCATGAGTGTGAAGATGAACCTCAGAATCTTAAGGGCTAAGGTCTGGAGGCAGAACCAGAAGAGTAGATTGTGCGGCCCTTAGCTTTCAAATGTGATCAACAGAAACCTTGACTCCGTGGAAATGCACAAAAGTGACTGGGAAACTGGGAGGAAGAGGGAGGCCAAAAAGGATGGGCTGGAGAAGAAAGGCGGGGGCTTTGGACAACCCAGCCGCATCTCAGCCAGGGCAGTCCCACTTGTACCTGTTTTACATACTGACCTTCTGTATAAGATTTCCTTTCTAGAAAGAAAGAAAAGTAGAAAACTGATTTTATTTTTTTTTAATTTTGAAAATTACTGCTATAAATATTTTGACTTCCTATGTTAGTTGTTCAAAGCATAAGGAACTTTATTCCTCAAATGATGAATCAGGAATTGGTATTCAGAGCAGTCTGAGTCAGGTGCAGGTTTCTTTAATTAAGCTCCCGGTGTGGTTCACAAAAGACAGATGGCTATAGTTCCAGTGCTTTGTTTAAGGATGACATGCTACTTCCAGTTTACACAATTCTCCAATGACTAGGAACAAAATTGTAACCCCTGTAAAAATTGTAACCTAGTAATTCTTCCCTTCTTTGGAATGTTCATGAAATTCGCCTAGCACAGAGGAAAGCATTATGCTTTTTGGTTAACTTAGCATAACATGGCTGGACACTGAATCCAAGTCTCGAAGATCTCATGAAGCTCCCGGAAGTTCTGAGTCTCTGTTACATGGAAAAAATTTTTTTTCCAAGACTATTCTTCACCCCATACCCTGTCCACTAACACGCACATATCCTTTTTTGATTATCATTGTTTGGCATAGGCCAATCTCCACAAGAAAACATGAAGTGAAGAAATACTCACTGGTCTCCAATTATGTGCAAAACAGCAGATCTCAAAGAGACAGACATTAATAATGTAAGTCATGCAAAGAGCAGCATAAAAGGGGAAATAAGATTTGGACCTAAGTAATACATTACAAAAAAGAAAGACGAGCAATAAAGGCAAAGTGCAAAGGGGAGTAAAAAGAATGATTGCTTTCAACTGGGGCAAGCGATGAGACATGAAACACAGCCGCCTCCCCATGTTATATCTGGAATGACATTACTTTGTGTCCAACGAAACATCGAGCCCAGAATCAGCTTTCTTTGCTCCATCATCATTGTCTGGATTAAAACTGATGTGCAGATATCTGATTTCCTGGCTGTCCCTTGAAGTTACCCTCCTAAGATGTACTACGAGCAATCTCTGGCCACAGTGGGATAGGGTTTTATGAATACGGCATCAGACCCCACCTTAAATCTGAGTGCTATCCAGAGCGAACTTCTTTCATGCATGAGCTCACACTCTTCCAACTGTTTTCCCTTCACGGTTGTGCTTCTCCACCTTTGTGCTCTCCTTCAGCCCTGGATGTCTTCCATCAATACAATCATCACACCGTGTTGCAACTGCTGTTTACTATGTCTCATCCATTCCTGTAAACTCGATGAAGGAAATGTTTTGTTCTACTTGATTTTCATTACATCCCCAGTGTGAGTCCCAGTTTTTGAACTAGAGCAGGTATACTAAATAAACATTTGGTAAATGAACAAATTTGACCACAGAAAGTATAGTCATGAAATAGTGTTCTGTTTGAAGAACTATTTCAAGCAAATGATGAGATCAATGGTCGAGGCTGAGGCTCTGTAACACGGACAATGTATGAAGTACCAGTTAGTTATTACGAGATACCAAATGTGAAAATAACAGGGCACAGACTTTTAGTTTAAAGAAACTGAAGGCTAACTGTAAGGAAACCTGTGAAATATATTATTTTAAAAATAACTGTGGATGTGTTAAAGAGTTATCCACAAGGATTTTCACTGCAACAATTTTAAAATAGCAGTATATGTATATATAATACATATGCCCACACAACAATAGTGCCTAATCATCAGAGGCAATATCTAAAAGTCTAAAATGATGTATTATCATTTATGATTCAGCATTTCTTTTGTTTATTATCTATTGGACTCCATTAGAGCAACTACTTTTTCTCATTTACAATTCTGTAACTGTTTAGCAAAATTCCTGGCACATAGTAGTAACCCACTTGAATTTATGTATGTTGATTGGAAAAAATATAAACAACAGAAAATATTTATAAAGGGAGCCTATTAAGAAATATATGTATGTGACACGTACATGTGTGAATATATAGAGGTATGTACGCATGAGATATATATGTGTGTGTAATATAGATAAAGAGAGAGAAGTTGAAAAGAGAAAAACAACAGCAAAATTATCCCTGGGGAAATGTTATTTTATTTTATTTTTTTTACTTGGAAATACCTTCTAAATTTTTTGCAATAAATATATTAATTGTAAAGAAAAAATGAAGACTCAGAATATGAGTTACAAACCTTGCAAACAATACAAGTATTTAGAAGGTGACATTCTCTGACATGGGACAGCCTATTGTTAGAACTAAGAAATGGGAAAAACACTAAGAAAAGCTACTGGGGATTCCATCAGATCGCCCTATGCACCATCCTGTCCTATTACAAGAAAACTTCTTTGGGCATTATTTTCTTTGAGAGTACCTAGCTAAAAAGCTATTTTGTAGCAAAACCAGTTCTATTGTGATCACTGAACAGAATTTTCACCTCACAAGTCTAACTCACATTCAATTCACAGGTTCATTGTTAGGATCAAAGGAGACGCTGCTTGTGAGAGAAGCTAGAAATGTCTAAGTGCACAGATGCACCCGTGAATGATATTGTAGTTATCTGATACCATCACTGTTGGCAGAGAGCCAGGGCTGAAACCAGAAATTGAATTTATTTACTACAGAAAATTGGTCTAGGAATTTTTGCTTCACAGTCTCTCTTTCTCAAATGGCAGGGGTGTGTGTGTATGTGCACACGTGTGTGTATGTTTGAATGAGAGAGAGACAGACAGAAAAAGAGTTTGCCTGATTTTTTTAACCGGTGAATGTAGATTCCTATCTATTTCTTTTGTCCTTTGTAGGCAAACTGTGTTGAATCCAGACCAGGAAGACAGCGGTTAACATTTCCAGGATCAATTCCTTTTCCAGAATAGCCTCGGCTTTCAGATGTTTTATTGAAGAACTAAGAGGTAAGAGCTAAGCTTGGAATAACAGGAAATTATCTTTGGGCTAACTGGGGTGGTGAAAAACTAGGTTTTGAGAGGCGTGAGAAATTAAAGGGGAGGAGCTTTTTCCTTCTGTGGAAGCCTGGTCTTCCTGGGGTGTGAGGGCATGTCTCTGCCCTCACACATGTCTCTGCCCCTTAGCTGGTTCAGCTCTCTCTTTAATCTGTGTTGGGAGGTGAGAACTGACTCACACTGTTTGCTTTTCCAGTCTATCCAACTTCAACAGTGGTTCATGTTAGTTCTCTTGAATCAACCCTTAAGCAGAGAACGACCACAGGCTGGCACACACAACACGGGTTTTGGGTAGAGAGGCTGTGACATTCGTTTAACAGGGGAGAGGCCCAGGCCAGAGGCTCTCTGAGCTTCAGTCTTCTCTGAATTATAAACAGTGATGTCTATTCTGCAGGGATTTGGAGAGGCTAAAGATATTCTAGGTGTAATTGTTGGTACACATATTAAATGCTCGATAACAAAGTGCGCTGATGATTACTGATTACTGATTCTGGCCCAGACCTACGTCTGCGTGTGTGTGCATGTATTCATTCATCATTAAACAGACAGTGTACTAGCTCATCTCTCAAACACAGGGGTTCATTCAGTCCATTCGGATTTGATTGCTCCATATTACCTCCTCTAATCACTTTTAAGCCTAGGAAAACAGAAGACACTTCTGGCAGAACGATCTTTTCAAAAAGTAATTCTGTTCCTGCTGTTCCGCTCCTTACAACTCACTGAACTTTCTCAATTTTCTTTGCATGTCGTTTTAATACAGTGAGCCAGCTTCACGGGAGGACCTTTGGTTCTTTTGCAGTTATGCCTTGCCAATATCCCCAGTGTTAGCTCTCAGCAAAGTCCACCTCTCCTCCACCACACACACACACACACACACACACACACACCCAGTATGATGCACCACGCTCTCTGCTTTTCCTTTGAGCTCACTCATACTATCTTCTCTTCCTGGAACACTAATCTCTGTCCCTTCCTTGAAAATTTCCTATTCATTTCTCATGTTTCTTCACGGAAGGCTTCTCTGACCTCCCAGACTCTTTAGCAGGCCCATGTGGCTCCTGGACTTCTCTTGTCACTGCAGTAGCATTGGTTGCACTGGACTGTAATTGCCTATTTATTTGCATGTCTCAGACTCAAACTTGGAGGCTGCACAAGAGCAGGGTTTGTTCTCCTTCTCTCACCATTTTATCGCCAGGGAATCGCACAGTAAATGGTATGTGGTATGCAACTCAATGAATATTGGCTGAATGGCTGCACATATACGTTAATATTCTAATGCACCATGTATGTTCCAAAACGTGGAGAAAAACTTCTATCATCAACTTCTCAGTCAACTACCTACTCTAAATTCCATGGTAAGTGGGAAAAGGACTACTGGGGAAAGAGACCTCTTTTCACCAGCAATTATAACCTACCTGGAAAGTCACAGGGGCTCAGGTGTCAGAATTTCTACTATCCTATCATCATATGTGTCTAGAGAAAATCAGACAGTGGGCCTATTTTCAAAAAACTAAAGTAGAGCAATTCATCTTCAGCCTTGGGCACATATGTCCATTTCTTACAAGAGAATAAAAACAAATCAGAAGAATAGACATCTATTTCCTTCCCTTATCCCATGATGGTTTTTCTCTGTAAGATATCTTCTAACATGAATAGAGAGAAGACAGAAAGAAAAATAAAATGATCATGGGCACTGTATTTGAGTGTTAGGACTATGGATGATTTTTTTTCCTTCTGTTTCCCAAACTTCTTATAATCTTAAATTGCCTTTATAGTAATAGATAAAATGAATAGAAAGTGAAGAAAACACTAGGTTCCTGAATTATCATTTCCTCTGCTACAAAGAAAAGAAAAGAAAACCCCTGGATAAATTATAAATAAAATTTGTTGCAGCTCAGCTCATTACAGTACCTTGTAGGTTGTAAGCATCCCATGTTTACTGACTGAAGGTTATGAGAAAAGACCAAAGATTAAGACACTAATATCAACACTCCACTTTCTAAACTAATTTTATTCATTCATCCTGATGCGTACACACACAGGTGTGCACCCACACGCACACATCTCTGCAAGTAGATCAAAGGCTCCTAGCATACTATTGGGCAGAAAATAGATTCCCAGAATGAGAACCAAAGAACTAACCTGTTTCTTTAAATCACAAAAGTCTATTGTATCTCATTTTTCTTCATTAACAGAGTATCTTTAAAGGAATACAAGAATGTGTGTTAAGCAGAAATATAACTTGAATCTATACATTCTGATGGTTCCTTGAAATCACATATCCTGAGCTCTTATAACCCGTAAGACTGTACAAGCCTGCACCATTTGCTTCCCTGCCCCTTGTCGTGGGCACTATCTCAGGGCTCCGTGGGGCGTTCCAGCCCCTGAATAAATATCATCAGCCTGCCTCCATCAGGCAAACACAACATCCACAGAATCCTCTGTATCCACGGTATCAACATTCCCTAATGTGGCAATTTGATCCCAAACCTATGTGGCTGAATCACATAACAGGAAAAAAATACAAAATGTCATTTTATAGAGAAAGAAAAAGGTATGAATTCACAGTGAGGCAGAAAATTATATAATTGAACATTTTATGCTGCTAAAGAGATGTCAGCAGCCGTTGGCATATGACCTTTGTAACACTGCATCCTGCCTTCCAGGATTTCAAGAGTATTTCACATGAATGTGCATGACATGGAGCAGAGGCTTCTGTAAACACCACTGAAAGAAACCTGTTCTGTTTTCTGTTAATTCAGTCTTTGGGGTCATAAGCGGTGTAGACAAAGTTACTATTCGAAGAATGGTTATCGACATTGCTGTTCGACTTTTTCAGGGTTGGTTCATGTTTCAAACCACTTTTCAGCAGTTTTATTCAAAGTTAAGTATGAATCTGTAGCTTAGCTAAAATCTTTCCCTTCCCAGTTAAGAGTGAAGAAAGCACAATAGCAAATTGTGTTGGTACCTTCCATCTCTACTGGCCCATTTTGGGTACCAGAATGGACCATTTAAGATGTAATGACGCAGAGATGAAAGGAAATCAGCGCAGGATTCAAAAACCTGCAGTCAGACTCATGAGTTCCCTCTAATGACACACTGACATCTGACACTTCATAGTGATTTTTTAACACAAGGTTGAAAAAGGGTTTTTGGCTAATATTTCCTCATACGCTCCCTCAGGTAGGTAAAACCAGTGTTACTATTTTTATCATAATGCTAAACAAAGAAAAAAATGGTGCCCAGGGAGAAGGGATAATTGATGAATAATTATTTCACAACACAGTACTGCAGGCAGGCCTAACGTTGAAGTCCAACACTATCCGACAGAACTTTCTGCAGTGATGGAAACATTCTATAAATTTAACTGTCTGGTATCTGTGATGTTGAGCACTTGAAATGTGGGTATTACCAAGGGTGGAACTATTCATTTGTTTATTTTTAATTAATTTAAAATGAGTCACGTGTAGCCAGTAGCTATTGTATTGCACCGCACAGTGCTGGCCAGTCCCACGTTGCTTTGTCTTGTAATTACCCAATTGGTTTTGTTACCGCTGTTAGGAGCTCAGTCTGCTTGCAGCAGTTTTTCAGCCTCGCAATCTAATGGTTGCACAGGAGAGAAGGCTCTGGGGATGGAGGAAGGTTCCACGGCAAAGGCTGAAGGATCAGATTTTAACAGGGTAAGGAGAGAGGACCCTTTAATCTATTATGCCCTCAAAAATATTATGCCTCCTCCATTTACTAAGTTTCCAAAAAATTATGTGGACAAATTTTGCAGTGACCTCCCCATATTAACTGTATGTTAATAACAACAGCAGTAACAAAAAAGCCAACTAACAAGCAAGTTTGTATTGTTTTCTTACAGATGTAAACTAAAGCTAAGGTATCTTGTTCAGCCAGGGATGCAAAATTATGATTGTTCAAGAATAGGAAAAGATAGAGAAAATCTTTTAAAATCTGCTACCCAAAATACTTTGAACTGAGCAACTTATGTTTTAGAGTTGTGCATTGATCACTGCTGTGCATAAATGACACTGAAAAACCTCAGGTCAAATATTCAGGTTTAAAAGGAAGAGTGTGTGTGTTTAATTATTCTCTTGAAAATCAGTAAATTTTGTATACCCTGTACATTATCTCTTGACAACTAAAACGATATATATATATATATGTAATTATAATGTATGTAATTATAAAATTTTTAAAATATCTGCATTTTTCTTAGCATATAAAAATAATTTGCCACACTTCTTCATCTAACCTCAACTTCTTCATTAGCTTAAAAGCCTATATTCTTTCTATTAAATTTCTTCAGATTTCACCTACACTCTAATCACACCTGGCTCCTTTCTGTGTTCTAAATTTACCCTGAACTTTCTTGCTTCTCTGCCATTATATATGAAATTCTCTTAGAGTCCTCTTCCCACCTGTCCTCCACCCACTATGTCTTACATTTTTCAGCACCTCGATCAGCTGCCTCCCACTAGGAGAAAGCTTTTTCCGTCATCAGAATTCATCACTCCCCTCTCAGTGTTCCCTTAGCAATTCTGACCTCGACTTCATGTTGTGCACCATAAATATATGTCTGAAGCACTTGTTACTAATTAGTTGTAGAAAAGCATCTTAGGGTAGGACCACGTGAATTTCTCCAAAGTGCCTGCCTGTAAAGATAGGTTCACAAATAACAGTTGTAAGGACTTTTAAAAAAAAAATTAAGGTGTGAAAACAGCATTTGTGCTTCACTTGTTTTTGTCTGACTGATTCTAACCATCAGTTTCACAAAACAGCATCAGGAACAAGTCAAACTCCTATTCAAGCATTCTTGACACTTCCCATAAGTGAGAATGTGGAGGTGCAAAGCTTAGAGTAGCAGGTTGGCACAGGATCCCCTCAGCTTGATAATTTTGTCAGACTAAATAATCACCTAACACTTTGCCTTAACAACCTCTGCACGTGAAAACTGGAGTGTTCAGAATGCAAGTCCCTTAACAGAGTTCTTAAGTAAAACATTCAAAGAATGAAATAAATCTTAGTGATAGGTGACACTGATCCTAACAAAACTTATTCTAATTAAGCGGATTACTTTGTTGCCAGTTATTATTCTAAAAAGAAAAAAACATATTTACCATGACTTGATAAACATTTTCTTAATTTATCCCACATATATTCATTAAGCACGCATTATATATGGTAGGCATTCTGCTAGGCTAGAGATTGATTATAAATACTATATTGTCCCCATTCTCAAGAACTCAAAGTCTGGTAAGGGAGGCAGAATCACATAATAGTTAAAACACAACTTTAAGGACACTGACTTCCATTTCTTTCCTGGCTTGATCAACTAATCATTTAACTTTGGGCACCATTTAACTCTGGGCATCATTTAACTCCCTTTGCTTCTGTTGAGCCTAGGTCTTCATCTGTTAAAATGGGGGAGATACCAAAAGAACAGCCTTCACTGGGTTATCGTGAGGATTAAATAAGCCAGTGTCCATCAATACATAAAATACTTAGTCCAGTGTTTGGAATTTAATAAGTGCTTTGTAATTATTAGTAATAACAATTGCAATCCAAGGTGAGCAGTGCTATGACTAAGGAGTATACAGTCTGCTGTGCAAATGCGAAAGGACAAGGACCTCATTCTGTCAGGGAGGGGAAGAAGGCTTCTCAGAGGGAGCAACGATGAAAGTAAGACTTGAAAGATGAGTAGGAATTTTCCAGGTGACATCACCGAGAAAGAGATGGCTGTTTTTCACTGAGGAAACATACGCAGCAGAATGTATTCAGAGATCTGTAAGCAGCACAGGAGAGCTGGAGCAGAAGGCACGCGGGAAGAAGTGCAGAACACGGCAAAGGGATCCAAGAAGCATTCCAGAGAGGAGGCTGCGAACGGATTTCCGTTTTACAAAGATCAGTACGGCTACGGTTTACAACACCCCCTTTAGAGAACAGAAGTTTTAAATGAGAAAACGAGTTGGGAAGTTACTTCCGTGATCCCAGGCCATCTAAGACAAAACTTCAAATTTAGGTATAGACGACATGGTGGGAGTGGGGTGAGGACTGAGGAAAGAGCAAATGATGGAATGGTGGTTGGAAAGGCCGACATACCACCTCAATAACACACTGGAAGAAAGTGTATTCCACAAGGGAGCCGTTTCTCACCCATTTGCTCTCCTGAAAATGGATAGACAGAGGCTTGAA